TTTCCCACCCCTACCCTGCAGTCTCTTCTTGCGGCACTTGGATCTGTTCAATTTGTGTCCAATATTGCTTTTGCATACTTCGTCCTCCACGAGATGGTTACTGTTAAGTATGTACATATCTGTAGTCATACGTCTTTGGAACCACGAAGGCTCACATACATGTTTTCATCATCATTGTTTCTAATTTTAATGATCAATGACTATTGCTTTTTTTGCAGGGTAATGGTTGCCACTGCTTTTATTGTTCTGGGAAACAGTTTTCTAGTTGCTTTTGGCAACCATCAGTCCCCTGGTAGATGCCATGCTTTTGATTTATTCATCTTTCAAGTTCTAGTGGCTTTTCCTTCTATATGAAATGTCAAGAATGTCTATTTGAGTTTATAACAAAGCTTCTATGATAAGGGGGAAGGGAAATGATCGTTTAAAAATATCTCAGAATACCAACTAATAAGATTTTTTTTTAATACTGATAGACCATTGTTCGAACTTGGCCTTTATCATCTAGTATACTTAGAAGATGATGACTCTAATCCCCATATTTTGCTCGGAACTTAACAACAAATTATAGGATCAGCTACCCGATATAACGAAACTTGCACTATGATGATGGTCCACTTTCGTTCTGCACTCTGTCTGGAAAAACAATAATTATGATTGCTTTAGCATTCAATGTTGGTTACAATTTCTGCTTACCATAATTTCTTCTGCAGTCGATGCCTTCTACTTTTCATGTTTTATGAATAAAATAATGAAGTATTTTATCTTTTGACTGAATGAGTCGACTTTGATAGGTATTCCCACATTTCCTCTTGTTCAATGCCATCAATGCATTAAACATACCAAAATATACATACTACTAAGATGCACTTGTTGCATATTTCTCTAAGCAACAATTCCTTTGACTTGATGTGAACCTAGTCTTTTGAGTGCATTTTCTGTGCCATTGTACTTAGTGGTTTAGATCCTGATTCTATGGGGTGAAATTCAAGTGCCACAAAATTTAGTTGTACGGTGGCTTAACATAGAGAACTGGATGTTGCCCGTAACATTTTGTTTCACATTTAAGCCTAGGATCATTATCCAATATGTGTAGATTACTAACCAAATAGGCATTCTTTCTGACCACTAAGGTTGGAAAAATGAAGGGGAAAAAAGCTCAAGAGCAGGGTGGTAGTGCAGAAAACATTGTAATGGATTAGTTGATTTAATCTGCTTTTAAGTAATGAATGTTCATTTTTGGTTTTCTCTTTACAGTGTACACTCCAGAGCAGCTGGTGGAGAAATATGGAAATATCACTTTCCTTCTATACTGCGTAATTTTGATCTTCGTTGTTGCTTTACATCACTCAATCTATAGGTTAGAATTAAAATGGATTCTTTCCTTCGTACTTTCTATGAGGCTTTGTGTTGATAATAGTATTCCCCATGGAACGAACATGCAGAAGGGGAGAACTGTTACTTTCTGTTTCTGGTCAAGATCTCAGACCGTATTGGCATATGCTACTGCCATTTTCCTATGCTATAGTTTCAGGTGCAATAGGCTCTTGCTCAGTCTTGTTTGCAAAATCTCTGTAAGTTCACCGACTGTTTTGTCCTTTTTTCCTGTATGTGCTGAACCCACTAATATTTCTTTTTTGCTTTCTCCTTTTGATACCAAATTATCTGTTTTAGGTCAATACTGCTCAGATTGGCCATGTCTAGTGATTATCAGTTGCATAGCTGGTTTACATATTCCTTACTGCTTTTATTTCTCAGTACTGCTGGATTTTGGGTAAGGTTCTATTGGACTCTACTTTTCTCCTTTATTGCTTTCACATTATTAATTATTAATTATTAATTATTATTTCTTGTGATGCAAATGAACATCATTTCCTTAACTCTATGTCCATTATGGATTTTTTTTTAATCTATTTCCACAGATGGCCAGGTTAAACGAAGGACTTTCCCTGTTTGATGCAATCCTTATTGTTCCCATGTTTCAGATAGCTTGGACTTTCTTCTCCATATGCACAGGTTTTATATACTTCAAAGAATTCCAGGTTTTCTCTCTTTCCTCTCTCTCTACGTGCGTGTTGGCGAGTGTGATTGTACTGGGTGTTTTGGGGGGGGGGGTTGTTCTTGAGCCTATTACATGAAGAGAACCACATGAATGACACTGGTTATGACCTACTGAATCTATTAAATAGTATGCTTATTCTTAGAAAAATGGTTTGCATTGCGTGGGATCAAACCTATATCATTTGTCTTATATCGTAAATGCAAGATTTCTATAGTATTTTGTGGGGTGAGACGAGATCTCTGTTTATCAGCTTCTTAACACCTAAAGAATGAGATTCATACTTCTTGTATGGCTCAACAAGTAACCAAGTTATGTTTATTTTTGCTTGACACAATAAATGGCATGGACCATGCATTGGAAAATAGGTCCTGTTTTACTGTCTGTACAAAGCGGTAAAACAAGTGATAACTGTCTAACCATGCACTTTTTTTTACATTTGATTTCAAGGTCATGTTGCATGTTGCCTTTTGATACTCTCCATGCCTCAGCCCTCAAGTATGAATTCAATTTAGGTAGTAAGCTTACCTTTGTACTATCTTCTAAACAGGTGCTTGATGCTTTGAGAACGACGATGTTCATACTGGGAATGATGTCTGTTTTCATAGGCATTTCTTTGCTAGCACCTGATGAGCCGAGAGGTATTTTAATTTAGGTTCGAAGTAATTTTGGGTTTATATTGCAAATCTGAGTGCTTGATTGGAACTTTAATTTCAGATGGTGAATTCAAAGATAATTCACCTTTGCTATCCGAGACGTCCACTAGCTTCTCATCAGAAGAAGAGAGGTATATCAATTATTTTGTGTGTTTATGACATTAGTTTTTCAGAGATTTTGAGTTCAAAACCACTTCCTTCGGTTTGTAATAAAGATATCTGGTATTGTACCCTCTTTTTCTGGGGGGGAATGTGAGTCCTAAATTGGAATTTCTCTGCAGCGAGCAGTCAGAACTATTAAAAAGGTTTCTTCGTAGGGTTTAGTTTATAGAACACGTAAAGTATTGGACAATGAAAAATCTTTGATGGATGAAGTGCTAACTTTCTGCCATTTTATCTGCAATTCCTTACCCATTTCTGTTGCATATGTTTCGTTTACAGACTAATTGTGTCATCCCAAGAATTAGAGACGAAGGACGCAAGATCATTTTCACAAGGATTCTTGTTAAAGATTACAGATGTAGTAGCCAAGGGGAAGGTATGGAGTCAACATTGATGATTTGGAAAGCTTACTTGCTCGATGGTCAACATGTTCGAACAGTTTAACTATATGCTGTCTTATTCATTTTGCAGGCTGCTTTAGCACTTTCTCTGGGTTTTGGAGAAGATTCACTCAATGCATCTGCAGTACTTGTGATGCCTATGGTGTCATCAAGGATGACCGGCTTTAGAGGAACAGGGTTGGAGCGCTCAAAACCTTTCTCCATGAGGAAGTCTGACTGGAGTAAGATCTCGTTGGATGAGGATGCGAAGGTGCTCGACACAAGCATAGGTTTCTCCCAAAACCTTTGAATAGGAGTAGTAAAAAAGGAAAATTTGGGTTGGAGTATTAAATCAATGCCTTTTCTTTATAGGTACAGTAGTTAGGAGTTAGGAGTTAGGAGTTATAATTCAATATACCAGTTACCAAGCATGTTCTTATATAGAATTATAAAAGACAATATTGTATATTATGATGAACAGTATTTTCTCATAAAGCAAGATATTATTTTTTCCCCTTCAGAGACGATTTTTAGACTCCCCTACCAAACTACTGTTTGGAAGAGCAATCCAAGTGTCGTAATGATGCCTTTCCTAACTTCTCAGAACCATGCTTCCCTTTTAGAGTTCAAGATATATCAATACTGAAAGATAAAATAAATTGAACCCTTGGATACTTGGAGTAAGAAGAATCTATAAGGATAGCATCTAAAACTTTTAGTAATAATGTGATAGAGGCGGCATATGTAACAGAGCTTAGTTGGTTGTTTATGAATTGAACTTCTGCCAAGGTTCTTTAGGAGAGAAACTAGTTTGAAGAGCCCATCCTGAACCCAATTCTTCGTTCTGTCGAAAACAGAAGAAAATAATAATGAGGAAATAGGAGTTATTGAAATTCTTGCACTTTCCACCGACCTCAAATTGAAAAGATCAAACCCGCGTCTCTTGCGCTGAAGTCTTCGTGATTTAAAGGACTAACGTGGTATAGAATCGTGATATGTGACCCACGCCCCCAACCCACCTACACAAATTGTCCCCAATAATGCTGTATAAAATATACATAGATAGAGAGATTACAGCTGATTGAAGCAGTGGCCTTTTAACGTATCAAGAATGAGGGGTCCCTTTGGTGGATCGCATTAAGATGGATGGACTTATTGCAAGCCTTCCTGCTAGATAGGTGTCTCTTTGTCTGCTGGTTTTGGGTGTGTCTAATAGGATATCCATAAATGCATGTCTTTGAAGACGTTGTGGGTGAGATTTGTAAATACTTGGTCATTGACTAGGGGAGTCATAGTTCAATCAAGTGAGACACTTGGTGAGTTGTAGTCCAACCAAACGAGATCAAAAGTCAGTAGGTGAGTTGTAACCCACGACGAGTAGATGATTGTTGCTTTAGATGAGATCGAAAGTAATTAGGTTTGTTTAGGTAGATAACTCAATTAGATGAGATGATAGGTGAGATATAACTCTAACCCTACCAAGTTAAACTAGAAATTCATTTTTAAATTATTATTTTTGGATCAAGAGCAGCCCACCTGATTAGTTGTGCAACTAACTTGATTTTTTTTTAGTAACATGTGGAGCGGAGAGATCTAAACCTTTGACCTCTAGGTCGAAGGTATATGTCTAAACTAGTTTAGCTATGTTCAGATTGGGAATCAACTTGATTAGTTGTTCGACCAAAATCACGGAATAATTATTAGAGTAAACTTGGAAATTATGTTCGAGTTGCTAAAATAATGTACAGAAATGAGTTAGGCTCTCATATCGTTTTCTATTGAAATGGTGAGAGGGAGTTGGTGGAACTGAGAGGTGAAGGAATTGTTGAATTGAAGCTCCATTAAAACATGAGAAAACTATGTATAAACCCCATTAATGCAATCGCTTACAATAATTTAAGCTCCATTAATTGCTTAAATTAGTTATATTGCAGTAGTTGCAGGCTTCGTTGCATCTTCAGCTGTTCATAGAACCTTCTGATGAACTCCTCAGCCTGATTATCCACTTGTCCACTTTCACAGGTAATATCATTTTCTTCCTCAGATGAATAGTTTGATATCCGTACGTTAAATGGGGTAACGAGTGGGCTTCCCTCCTCCATTGCAGGACTCAAAGCATAGCTACAAGCATCAATACAGGCCGCCTCGGCTTCTGGGTATGAATCTTCTTCCTCTTCTTTCTTTTCTTGTTGCTTTATCTCCACAGGAAGGTTGATACAGGGGAAGTAAGTCTGGTATTTGGTACTGCGCTTTGACATGTGGGAAAAAACAGGATTAATGGGAGTGTTGCTCCAAGGGAATTCATAGTCCTGTATGTCGAAACCGCCACGTGTCATTTCTCTTCCACCGGAGTGGTGGTGGTGATGATGGAACATGAAGTAATTGGTCATAGATTTTCTGAACACCTTCCCTCTCTTCACCATTAAATTCATGTCCATGATGAACCTTCTCTTTGAGATCAGACCCTTTCTTGCCATTAGGATAAGCGTCGCCTTAAGAACATTCCAAAGCCTCTTGACTCTTACAGAGGATTGGAGACCCATGATTGATTTTAATTGTGTTTTTCAGCTTCTGAGAATGGGATAGGATGGGTTTCTTTGTTCCTGCAAGGTTTGGCAAACCTCGCAGAGGCAAAGAAAACCCAACAAGAGGAGGAAACAACAGGGAGATGGGAAAACACCAAACTCTGCCTTGGATTCTTATAGGAAAATGGAGGTTGTGGAAGGAAGCAACGCTCCTGTATTTGAATATTGAGATCCAACCACCGCTCCTAATCCAATTCCATGGTCATTTCGTTCTATATTTGTTTAATATGCTTTGAATTAGAAAAGAAGTGACTTTAGGACAAATTTTGTGAGGCCTTTACAATGGAAAAGAGCAAGCAATTGTTTGGAAGTTGCTGCTGTGTGTGCAAAAAGAAAGAATACTACCTTTTCCAACGGTACTTAACATTTGCTCAATTATTAGGCCACCAACCTACTTTTTTGACTTGGTCCAACTCCATCATTGTGTTTATAAAGTTTCTCTTGTGACCTTTGAGCGTTTAAGACGAATCTTAAGTCATCTATTCGAGTCGTTGTTTCGGGAAATTTTGTAGGATTACAGTGATTCGTACGAGTAATAGTTGGCTGGTAGTTGAGTTACTGTCAAGTTGTCAAATGGAGACTTGTCTCTTGCTGTTATAAAAAAAAATACCCTCTTTATCACGCAAGTAGAGGAAATGGGAAACAACTTGATTATGGAACCAAGTCGCTTGTCACACCCGGGAATGGGTTTCTCCCGAAGCATTGGATCATTCTCACCCATGACTTCCATGTAAGACTAGTGCCACAAAGGCTTTTGGCGGTCTTAATGTTGCATACCACGATAGGAATTTCGACTGGGGTGAAATCGTAACAAGGTAGCCGTAGGGGAACGTGTGGTTGGATTGGATCCTTTGCGAGCAAATAGTTTTTTAGTCCAGTCCAACCACAAAAGAAAAAAGAAACTTTAAAAAGAACATAAAGAAGTAAGTTTGTCACATGGTACTATATAATTGGACCACGCGGTTGAGTTGCAAAAAATGGTTGAAGCCCAACTAGCACCCAACCATTACTTGGTGCATTATTTTTTTCTTCAACATTTAACACGTCATTGATCATCTCCAAAAATCTCGGTTAGAGCAGTCATATGCCAAACGTCCTAGGAACTACGCGTTCTATGAAAAGGAGTTTCACTATTTGCCCTTAGGATGATATCTTATTTTAGTTATTTAATAGATTCTCAAACTTTTAAATTTGAAATTTGTGAATAATAAATTCATAAATTTTAAAAATGTTAAATAATTTTATGACTTTTTAATTTTGAATTTAATGGATCTTTTTCAAATTAATAAATCTATTAGAGATCAAATTAAAATTTGACTAATTGGGAATTGAGCTTTTAATTTTGTGGCCAAACTTCGAGCATAGTTCAACGAATAAGGAGTCTATCGATTAAATCAAACAATTCAATTCTCCACTCTCGACAATTATTTAATTAAAAAAGATAAAAATTTTAATTTTGTGTTCAATAAAATAAATTTTAAAATATTAAATATGTGAGATACACCATCAAAAAAATTTAAGGACTTTTTTGAAATTTTTTTTTAAAGTGGGGATTTAATTCTAGAATTAAAACTTTTAATAAAATTTATGAATGTTGACCAAATTATTTCATGGTTAATTATATTTTTTTAGTTGTCAAATAGTCGAAATTATTGCTCATGAATGTCAAATATATTTTTTAGTTGAAATTTTCCATTTTTCCAGTCTTCCATTAGACAAATATAAAACATAATAAAAATATTTAATAATATTTTATAAATAAAAATATTATAGAACTTTCTACCAATATAATTTATACAAATTTAAATTTAAATTCTACAACGTTGTCTCAACACTTAAAATTAAAATATATGTGTATATATATATATATATATATATATAGATATATACAAAAGTAAAAAAATTAATAAATAAATAAAATGAATAAAAGAGAGGAATAAAAATATCGCGCCAAATCGTAAAGATTTGATTAGCCAGTTTGGTGGAAGAAGGTGTTGAAGTGGGACCCACGCTCATCTGCGGCCATTGACTGTTACTTCCGGAGAAGGAGAAGCCGCGAAAGCTACAGGCTGTGGGGGTCTGGGTCTACGAGGCGTTCCAATGAAGCCCCCCATTTCTTTCCATCCCGCGAATTCTTAACCCCTTTCCTGAAACATCCTAATCCCGTTCCACCTCAAACCATCCCCAAAGTCAAATCGGACGCAGTTGCAGGTATAATTGATCTGTTCCTTACTTCTTACCCGCAGATTTCAGGTATGAATCGCCTGGTTCTTCCATATCCTTGCCTTTATCTGTTTGAATTCTTCCTTGTTGTTCCTTTCTTTTAGTTTCTTCTTCAATCCTGGTTGCAATAATATGCCCAACCATGGAAGATACACCATGCGCCTTTTACATGATTTGATTGTGTACTTCTAATTGGATAAATGTCTGTCTATGCGCGTTTAGTGCTGTTCTTCATTTGATTTGAGGATTTCTCATATTATGATTTTGTCTCCTCTGATAAATATAGCACTTTCATTGTCATGTCATGTTTGTTCTTGATCTACCATGTATTTTTCTCACTCTTCGAATAGTTTCAGCTCCAACTACACATTCGTGGAACAGGCGTTATTTCTTTTTTTCTTTTTTTTAATGTTTCTGCAGCATGAAAGCATGACTTTTTCTTGAATGTAATGGTGAGTTATTGCTAGGTGGCAGTATGAGGCCGGGAACTCTGAGCGTTGGAGAATGTTCGAGTTCTACTTCATTGAGCTCTCATCAAGACATTGACGATGATCGCATGATTGCTGTTGCATTAACGGAAGAGTACGCTAAGCTAGATGGTGGTGTTGCCAGACGCCTCTCCAACCTTGCCCCTATTGCTGTATGAATCTTTGCTCTTTTCCTTTTGTTCTAGCTTAGTTTTTTTTGTTTTTTTTTTTTTCTTTTAATAATTTTCAAGCCACCGCTTTACCCTTCAAAGAGATTATTAGTTATCACTTCTCATATGAAAATATGAAAGTGTTTTCTCTTTTTAGGACGTTGTCCTGAAACTTTATTCAAATAGAATGTTCTGAAATGCTTGATTTATTGGTTTTCTGATTGTTCTCCTCATATCTTGGCTTATGAACTATTGTTGCTCCATCTTTTGAAAAAAGATATTACCTGAACTCATATGTTAAACTTCACTCTTTGCGTTATTCCAGCATACTCCAAGGGTAAATTTGTACATCCCCACCCAAAGTGATGCGAGTTTGGAGTATCATAGGCTTCTTCAGAGGTACGTATCCCTCATTTTCTAAAGGAAAAGTTAGCTGGGGCTTGGTCAACAGATCTATATGTATGAAAAATACTACCTTTTCTCTCTGTAGAATAATGATGAAATTTAGCATAAAGAACAACTGTTAAAGAATTTTTACAAGCGACACATGCACATTCCCTATCTAGAGAGAGAGAGAGAGAGACATGCACATTCATGAGCAAGCATTGGTGGATTGAAAATTACTTCCAGGGAGTTGAAACGATGCATAAATTCTCAAGTTTACTAGGTGGGTAATTTTGTAATCATGATCCGGTTGAAGGTCACAAAACCATTATGTCCAATTGATGACCTTATTGTTACTACTATTATGTTATATTCTTTATCGTGATTTAGGCTGTCTTAAAGGGATGTCATCTTCTGTGCCATAGCTAGTTCCTTGATTGAGGAATAGTTCAAACAAATCTAAAATTTTCATCACAAAATCAACAAATATAATAGCAAGTCATCACGATCCTTAACTTCGCCAACTCAAGGCCATTTGAGACAGCTTATTAGCCTACAGTCCAGTTTGAGCCATCCAAATCCTAGCCTATATTCTTCCAGGGTGCAGTTCGATTCTGTATCTCCCTTTACAACATGAACAAAGTTCATTATGGGTTTTCTTTCTTACTTAATTTCAGTCCTCTTATTCAGTTGCTCCTGCAACTTCAATTTAATCCATGCCTCTAATTTCTTAAATTATGCTTTGGATAAAAGCTTAGCTTTTTAAAATGAATATGGCATCATAGGAATAATCCAAAAAAAAGTAGCTATGGTGTTTTTCCCCCCTTGGATGCTAATTGTTATTACTGTGATAATATCTAAACCCAATAAGGATGGCCTGTTTTTTCATTGCATCCATGTGTTCTCAAGAGGGAATTCATGAAAATTACTCAGGATAAAAACTGATGGTTGTATAAGTCTATGTTTAATGCCATTAAAATTTACAATCTCCCTAGGCTTCTCTTCTCTCTCCTACCACCTGTGATGAAGTAGTTTTCATCTCATTGTGTTTCAGGCTAAATGTCTATGGTTTGCATGAAGTGAAGGTTTCTGGAGATGGAAATTGTCAGGTATGTTGATTTTTTAAATAAGAAGTAGAAGCTTCGGTTTTATCTACAATTTACCTATAGTTTCTTCTTATTTGGCAGTTTCGAGCACTTTCAGATCAGCTGTACAAATCACCTGAGTATCACAAGCACGTGCGGAAAGACATTGTAAAGCAGGTAGACTGTCATATCTCGAGGGGCTTGAACTAGGGAGAATAGTGGCTCCTTTTCATTTGGGGTGAAAAGCTGAGCTTTTGTGTAAGGCAATTGAAAGAGAAAGTAGTAGAGAAGGTTTATGTAGCATGTAGCCACGGTAGTTGGGAATGGGATTGGTAAATTTTCACTTATATTTGGTTTTAGAATCTGCAACTTTGGTTTGTATTTTGTCAGATCAGAGGTGTTCTCTTATCCGGATTTTAATCAATATGTATAAATTAAATCTACCTGTTAGACTTGTTAGTAGTGACTTGTAATATCTTACTCATGTTTTGGTGTCAAATTGAAGTGAATAGAGTTTTCGAGTCAGGGTGAATATCTTGCTTGTGTATTACTCACCTGGGTTTATTTTCATGTTCCAGCTAAAGGACTACCGTTCTCAATATGAAGGTTACGTTCCAATGAAGTTCAGTCGTTATTACAAGAAAATGGCGAAGTATGTGAAATTGTTCACGATCATACTCTCTCTTTCTCTCTTATTGAATCGATGGTCATCTGTGGATTAACTGATCTTAAACATGTTCTTGAGGAAAGGTCTCATTTTTTTATTTCTTAATATATGATGCAGATCTGGTGAATGGGGGGACCATGTTACCCTACAAGCAGCAGCTGATAAGGTATATCATATGGCAATATTAACTGTCACCTTTTTATTTGCTACCTTATTGATTGAATGTTGTATGGCATTATCGATTTAAGATTTTGTATAAAATACGCCCAAAGGAGAATGAGCAGCAAGTTCTCATATCCTTGGAAATGTAAGCAATGAATGAAAATTACTGAGACACTGGATTACAGTATTTGCTACCTTACTGAAGTCAGACTCTTGGATTAGGTGTTTTTTCAACTACCATTTGAACTTGGAGTTCAAGATAAACTAGAGA